CTGAACAGATGGAATTCTCCTTTTTCTCTTGCTTATAAAACAAGCTGCTAGACTTCCATGTGTTTCTGAGCCCACAGGATATGCCCAGAGAATAAGAATAAATGGCAAGTTCTTGGACTGGAGGAATGATCAAAATGGACTGGGGCTAGGTCCAGTAACTTTTACATAGTTTGCTTCTAAAGGAAGTTAACGCGAGGGATAAGCAGTGAGCTGGCCCAGTTTGTCATTGATACCAAACCGCTCAGAATAGTAAAATCAAAAAGAAATTCTGAAGATCTCCAAAAGGATCTGTCTGAACTGGGTGCACAGGCACTACAATGGCAAATATAACTCAATATCAGCAAGAGCAAAGTGATACATGTTGGCACACAAAATGCAAAGTTCTTGTGTTTATTGATAGCAGCTGAGATCGAAAAGATTTTAGAATCATGGGGGATAGCTCAGTGGAAATGTCAGCTCAGCATGTGGTTGCTATAAAAACAGAAAATTTCACCCTTGGAGTCATTAGGAATTGGAAATAAAACAGCCATTTAATGAATCTTACAAAAATCTATGGTAAGACTATACTTCAACATACTCCTGAGCAATGGTTCCCGGTAAGGAGAAAGGGCAAAAAGGGGCAACCAAAATGGTTAAGGAGCTAAAGTAGTGTTTTTCAACCTTTTTCTGCCCATGACCCCTTTCTGACCTGGTTTTTCTCCTGTGGCTCCCCTGTGCAGATCCCATTATTGGATACAGACATGGGTCAGTAACTGGTATGTTTTCTGACATCAAGACACTATTTGCAATGCAATACAGTTTGCTTTTCTATGGCCCCCTCAGCACATGCCATGTCCCTGTTACAGGTTTTTCACCTGTGGCTCCCTTAAACTATCCTTGGGCCCCCGGGGGCCATATGGCCCCTGGCTGAGAACTGCTGGGCTAGAGCACCAGCCCTGCAAAGACAACAGCAGTGTCTGGAGCTTTTAACTAGGAATAAAAGTAGATAAAATAAATTGATTGATTGATTTAAAAGACTTATATGGCTGCCTATCTTAAGATACAGAACCCTGGGTAGCTCACAACAATAATAAAAGCCAAAGATAAACCCCAAATCCAATAAAATAAAACCAAAACTTGGCACCTCAACCATCCTCTCTGA